CACACACACACACACACACACACACACACACACACACACACACACACACTCTCCTCCTCACTCATTATACTCCCCTCACACTCTCTCCTGCCTTCTCTCTCAGGTTTTCTCATCCCAGTTTCATCCTCTCCTGTTCCCATCAGTTTCTTTCTTCCTTTCCATTTTCTCAAAATATGATACAAATAAAAACCACATACAGACCACCCCCTATTCCTTTTTCCTTTTACAAGCACACACAGACAACTCTAAGGCGCATGTAGATGAACGTGAGCATATGTATGAGCTGAAACATCTCTACTGAGTCATTCCCTTTCATTTGGCTGTCGGTGCTCCGGTGGGGGGGAGGGGGGGTTCCTGTAATGTCCTACCGACACTCGGGAGCAATGAAAGTATCTGAGCAGGAGTTTATGTCTGGAAGGAGGTCACCAAATATGACAGGAAGACATCTGGAGGTGGAGAGTGAAGTGGGAACATCGGTCAATCTGTAAACTTCAGTAAACACAGACAAAACCAAAACGGTCCTTCCCTTCAGAGTTTGTCAGATCCATGGAGGGGTTTCACCTGCCGGCGATAGACCCCTGGCTTTTTCTTGCTGCCATTTTCTCTCAGAGAACAGGCGCGTCGAATCGGTAGGTGACAGAAGGAAGGACGGGTGACAAATAGAGAGATAGCTCGGGGCCTCCCGGAAAAGGGGAGGAATGAGGAAATCTAAGATTCTGTTTATCCAGTGGTTATTATCCTCTCATCTCAAAATCCATGGATGTGATTCAGTGTTCCCTTTTTTCTTACCCCAATGTAATGACTTAAAAGAGCAGCATCAGTGCTGCCTGGTGGAGATACATTTAGTTTCACTCCAATGAGAGAAGCAGTTCATCAGTATCGTTCCACCCCCCAAAATCACTTGGGCCCTACGAGCGTTTTTTTTTTCCACATATGTTTTTTATTTTAATTTTTTTGGCCACCTGACACCTAGCCTTCATTCGCTCTGGACTCTTTTCTGTAAGGGTTCTCCAAGAGGTAGCGATACCTGTCGTAGTTCTCCAGCATGTACTTGGGGGCGTACATGTGCTCTTTGGGGTCCACTGGGGGATACTCCTGCAGCGAGCCGTCAAACCAGCCGCCAGTCCGGATGAGATCGCGGATGTAGTTGAGGTCGCGTTTGTCCTCGTAGTCGCCCCACCGCGGGAAGTCTCCGTTCTGCGCCGACACCAGCTTAAAGTAGATCCCCTCGGGTGTGAAGCACCAGGAGCAGTGCCACCCTGCGAAGTGGAAGGGGCTTCCCACCGACCACTGCACCAGGATGTGGCCGGTGTCATTCTCGTATTTGCGGAAACCCGGCATAGTGTAATATTCGCGCCGACGCAGTTTGATGCCGTCGCCATCGTACACGTCGTGCAGCATCCTCAACGTGCAGCCCGACACCACCTCCAGAGACCCGAACTGCTTCCAGAAAAAGCCATACAACGACTGCACACACAGAGAAAAGAGTACAGGAGAATTGCAAAAAGAATGAGATACTGTTCAATTACCACGTTTATTCTTCCCTTAATCTTACATGGTGAAAAAAATAATCTTAATTTCACGTAACAAACTGGCTGCTTGCAGAAAACACACGAAAGCTGAGATACTTCTGTTACCTTGCGCATGTGGATGGCGAAAGGCTCTGTCCACCCGTCGAACAGCTTGAGGAAAAGTAGTCCTTCGTGTGCTGGGATTTCGTCGGCATCATTGATGACGAAAACATCGTCCGATCGCGCACCGACCACCCTGGACATGCCATTGCGCGTCAGGAAGGTACGCAGGTAGTCATCGGCGATCCAGCCGTCCTGCCGACCCCCATCCGGAAAGTGGTTGAGGAACACGTACAGGATCTTGTGACGTATGTAGTCATAGGTACCGTTTAGAAGGAGCCGCAGGAAACTGAGGGATTACAAAAATGTAATTTTAAAACGAAAATTAACATGATTTTAAGTTCAACATTTTAAGTAACACCGTTGCCTTTAGATGAATTTTACCTACTGTTCCAGGCAGCCATTGCTTTCCTTTACTGACATGTAGCAGTCATAAGTTAGCAAGAGCGTAGATTATTCTTGTCAAGGTAAGGCGGCCGTTTGCCATTTTAGTTTTCCTTTTAAGATGTAACTAAAGGTGTATTTCATTCTTAAAAGCACAAAAGCAAAAAAAGCCCTCAGATACTAGTCAATACTAAAACTTAATATGGGATTAGATACTAATTTGCAGCACAGCCCCTCCCCCGACAAGCAGCTGAAGTAGCTAACGTTCACGACACCGAACACTGAGAATTTTCGAGGTCAGTAAAGCTCCTGTTTCAATAACATCTACTTACACTTACTAACACTTTCTACATTTTGACCTAGCAAGTGCACACCAAAGTTAGCTTGACTATTGGCAGTTACCCGTTAGCCACATTAGCCAATCTGCTATTATAAGAGTAGCTATTATTAGCTATGGCTAATATTAATAAGGCTAACAATGTCGGTAATGTTATTAACAAAAGCAGCAAAAGTTACAAGACATGTCCGTCTGTGACGTTAGGATTGTGTTCATTTAAAGGGTAACACAAATGCTTATTATTTAGAATTATTAATAATTATTCAACAATTAGTACCCCCTGTGAAAATTTCCCTTTTAAAACTATTATTGAACTGAGAAGTGAATTGCAGTTTTAAACTTCTTGACGATACTTCTTACTCCAGTTCTTGACACTTGAAACACTATTTTAAATTTGTATATCCATCTCCTGTTTTTGTGATTGACAACAGTTATTATTCTCTACTCTAAACAGAGATTTTAGTGTGATGCTTTCTCCAGTGACAGCTCAAGAGCTTTTAAGGTTTGTAAATTGTAAGGTTGTCCTCAGTTTTTACTTGATTTTACAAGCTATGAACATTAAAAATAAATATGCTACAGCTCAATAAAAGAGACAGTTTTTCAATTTCTAATAATGACTCTGGTCTTTTTTCTGTTTTTTTATACTAATAGAAATAATTTATGATCTCTACAGAAACTTAGTATGCTGAGAAATGCTGTGTTGCTCTGTTAAAAAAGAAGTTCTTGGGAAGATTTGGACAAAAACTTTAAATTTCATAGGGGGACTTATCATTTGTGTATTAGCATGTTGCTGACACAGTCTGCAGTTGTGCTGAGTTTCCCCATCTCTGAGTGGCATTAGGTGACTGTGCCAAGAAACACAATTAATAAAGGAAACTGATTCACTGCATTTATTACATGATGCCTTCTGGTGGGAAACACACCAACAGAACTGCAGTATCATGCATCCATAATGTGATGTTCCCTGTAATGGATTTCACAAATTTAAAAGGCTTATGATTATAATTTTTTTCCCCTCTGAAGAAAAAAAAAATTGCAAACCAATATTGCATTAAACAGTCCACAAAATACATTCCAGCTGTAGCCCATTTATAAAAGGTTGTCAAAATATGGCAGAAGAGATAAAGAAAGAGTTCAGAAAGGCACTTGTTTGACAAATGGCACCTTTCAGCAGAGAAAAGCCGTTCTCCTCACGCCAAACTGTCCAGAAGAACAACTCAATTAACCTGTTGATATGCATAGCGAAAGACGGCGATCGCAGAACATAGCCGCTTTCGTGCAGTGTCACATCCGATGATTGAACACACCGATCTCTCCCTTCAAGGCTACACGCAGAGTCAATCATGCTGCTCTTGTCATAATCTGCTGTAAAATTTGCCCTCGAGGCGTTTCATGTTGTCGCCACAGGAAGCTAACTGTAATTGTTATTCTGCACGCGGATACTCGAGGAGCACGAGTAGGGCTGGCTGTAAACAAAGAGGGTAAGCTGCAAACAATA